TCTTTCCCTGGTCCATCAGGAATGTTCACCAAACTATTTCATCCTGTCACAACCAAGGCTGTGAGCTATAATGCCTCTTTATAGTGTGTCTGTAAAATAAGAGTTTAGGAAGGCCTGCAGGCACAACAGCAAGCTAAATAACAAAAGACAGTCACAGCTCTTATTAAAATCCGTTACAGAAGAACAGTTCCTTCATTTCCCCTCAGTTTTACGCAATACTGTGCTTTAATAATCCTTATATGTTTTGAACCTAGACAGTATTAGTCTGCTGAAATTGTCTTAGTAAATTTATATAAATTACTCAGTAGCCTTTTCCATTAAAAAAAAAAAAAGAAAGAAATCTTAAATTCCAGTTTAAGATAGTGTAAATACTTTTTTTTTTTCAAAAAGGTTGTAAAGTCATACCATTTCAATAACACTGACCCACGAATAACACTGACCCATGAATAACACTGGACAATTTCTTGAGCTCCCTGTAGACCTTTAGGAGGTCTGCAATTTTGTTTAATTTCACTGATGTCCTGCATCTGGAAGTGGTAAGGAAATGCAAAAGTTATTAACTCCTATAAAAGCAGAGGGTTGTTCAGGTTATTCCTCTTGTGGCCTAGTAGCTATATAAAACCACGTGAACAGCACTGTATTTGCTCAGATGCACAAAACCTGGTTGTACTAAGTTATTAGTAACTAGTGCAACAATGAATGGAGTAAAGACCTAGGTGAAACTCCGCAGTTACTCTACGTCTCCAAGCAGCTCTTCAAGGAAAGAGATTAGGGAAAGCATGATCAGCTTCTTAGGAGGCGGCCACTCACACTGCCAATGAAGGAGTCCCTTTCCATACAAAATATTCGTCTTGGTACAGAAGGCATTGGACTTTCATTAGCTGCAATATTTAGTGGCATAGTGCAAGGTCCAACCACTTCACCACCTGTACGGACTGTGGCAACATTATTGACTCTCCTGGATTTTGCTAATGACACTGTATGTGCAAGGAAAGGCTCCTGAGAGCATTCACTGAGCTAAATTTTAATCTCTCCCCTCATCTGACCTCGAAATTGTCCTTCTCTGCATTGTCAATGACAATGGTGGTTAGATAACCAGTGTGCCAAGGCGAGTGCTTTTCAGGCTGACCGCTACAATCCCATCCTTCCTGGGAACTAACTTTTTGCTGTGTCCCTCTGACCTCCTCTCCCTTAATTTTGTAGTTTTGCAGAGCAACTGCTGTCCTTCATTATGACTGTACAGTGCCCAGAGTAATGGCACACTAGGCCAAAGCTATCATTACTAAGCTTATTTACTTGCTTACTTGGGAAGCATGTCATCACATTCGGTATTTGTAAAGCACTTGCCATCAAAAGATCAGAACATGCTTTGGAAAAGAAAACAAACAAAAAAATCAAACCCCAAACTTCTTTTTGCTCACGGGGCAGAAACATTAATGGCCAAAGTCCTTGTTCATGCTTTTTTGTGCATGGCGACTCTTTGCCAGGGAGGTGACCTCCCTGGCACGAGCACTGCACCAACTGAGGTGCCATTCTACTCGAGTGCCAAAACAAGGCTCCAAGTCATGTGCTGACTCAGCAGCAGGGCCCTGAACCCAGTTTCTTCTTTGTCCCATGGTCTGAGTATTTAATTTTTTAGTAGTGTACTGAAGAATTACACATCTAGAAGCTAAGGACAATGGTTAGTTTTTAGAATATTTCAAAGCATGCACAAATATACTAAGGAAACCATGTTTTAAAATATCTTAATTAATAAAGACCAGTGTTTAATAATGTAAGCAAGTGACCAAATCTGAACTTGAACTAGCAATGTGACTTGAATCACTTTTCAGAAACAATGATGGCGAAAGGTTTTCTGTATGGGATAGGTATGAGCAAAAAGAATAAACATGTGCGATAACAACAAGCACACTGAAGCATATGCCAAAATTAGTATTTAGATATGTTTCTTCTTACCTTTTTGCTTTGTCTGCCACTAGACTTCA